AGCTAATGCAGTGCAAAACCTGGACTTATCCCGGCCTGGATTGGGGGAGCCAGTTAACCACCTAATCGCTTCAAAGCCATGCTATCAAGTTAGTTATGAAAGATGGGTGGGTGGTACAGTTATTGGAAATAGGACCGACATCTAGAGAGTTTCCTAAGTGGTCCTAGACTTATGTGGGTTAGATGCTTCTAGCTAATGCAATTAAATTTTAATTAGTTGGTTACTAATGCAATGCATACTAGTTGAAATGTCAGCTCATGAATGCTATAGAACTTTAAAAACAAGCTTATAGAAAATATTTTTTTTGAAAATACTGGGTCTCCCTAGGTCCGGCACTTCATCCTCATAAGCCAGATTATCCGGACTCTACCCGTAGGCAGGGAGATGTCTTATAAGAAGGAGAGAGAAGATGCAGTAATATGCATGCGACCCCGAACGATTCTGGCAGTTCCCTAGATTCATTAAGTTTCTATGTTATTTAAAATCATAAAATTTTAAATATTAATTACGAGTAGAAAAATTTTATAGTCCTTAATGAGCCTAATACTATCCAGGCGAAAGCGAAAACGACATGCAAGAAAGAAACCTAGAAAAAGGCAGGTAATTTCTAATGCGCAACCAGGTAAACACATCAATATAAATCCAAAAAAAATAATCAACTAAATGGCCATAGGCAAATTGCCCTTATTACAACCCAGATATGTAGAAAGTAAAGTAGCCGGGCACCACTGCCAACAACTCGGATTTCTAAGCCTATGACAGACGCAAATGACTTTGAGTGGGATATTGGTCTTCAGTCTTCTGGGTGTCTCCTTTTCCTTGGACTCCTTGGAACTTTTCTCCTTGGACTCCTTAGATCTCTCCTCTTTGGACTCCTTGGATTTCTCCTCCTTGGACTCTTTGAATCCGTCGTGGCTTGAATATCCAAACGAAGAGACAATTCCCCCTAGGTAGGGGGCATTTCCTTTTCTCTTTGGATATCTAAAGCCATCCCACTTGATTTCCCAAATGGAAGAAGACTCTCCCCTATGAGGATGCCTTCTTCTTTTGGGATTCAAGTGGGATAAGAATATCCCAACTCAAAGATCATTTTCACAACTCTTAACTAATATTACAAATATTACATTCATTGAAAGTAGAAAATTCTAGACTCTCTGCATGGTTATCCTAATGAAAATCATCCCAAGCAGTTTATATGAAAATGAAAATGCTAACACCATTGACCCTGTGCCAAGCCATGCTCTTAATTATGAGGGCTAAGCAGCTCCATCTGTCAGTTATAATTATTAATTTTAGCCTTCGTTTTTATTTGGGGGGAAGCTAAGCAAACACATGCATAAAACATTATTAGAAATCATGATGATGCTCCCCCCTTTTTATTAGCATTGAGCATGGCCACCTGCAAAGAAGAACAGTATATATATATGACGTTCCTAACCTAGGGGTAGATCTAGCGCTCATCACATCACAAAGTACAGAAAAAGTAAGCACACACACCAACAATTTCAAACAGCATGCAATGAAAACCACGGAAAGCTCTGGCACACAGCAGAAAAATAAAACCCAGCGGCCTAACCTAGATCTAGAAGTGGTGCCCTAGCAAACAATTCTATGTGTGTGTAAGGCTAGTGTGGTTTGGGTAGGTCCTCAGCAGGGTAGTTAGTTAAAGTTATCTAGAGTTCAGGTTTGTTGTAGGCTAGAAAAGGAAATTTTTGTTGAAATTCAAATATTAGTGAATTAGGGTGCATCTTAATTATCTCAGTTTGTTGATTAGTTTTAAGAGCTTAGGATATTCATATTTGAAGTTTAATTTGCATTAGCCAATTTTGGAAAGTCTCAGGTCCTTCTAAGACTTAGACTAAGGGTCCAAAAAGTCACTATGGGAAAAAGGCTAAACCTGGGTCTTCTATCATCTTAGGAAAATACTAGACCTTAATACGAGTAATTAGACAGGTAGTACACTGGATTTGGAGTTTCCTATCCAAAGTTATGATTTTTCTAAGTTTCGGGCCCCTAAATGAACTATGGTTGACCAAAAAGTTGACTTTCTAATCTAGGTCAATTTCTAGAAACCTAATATTTTTTAATAAATACTAGACCCTAATTGGAGTCCAATGCAAGTGAGTTTACCTAATTTTGAATTTTCTACAATTAGTTATGGATTTTCTAATTCCAGGGTATTTAAGGGAATTTTCTAAATTTCCTAATAAAGGGCTGTTTTTATTGTTTTACTCCAAATCAACTTCAAAATGATTGGAATCACTCCCAAAGGTCAAGAATGACCTAAGAAAGTGTTCCCAAGTGTTTGGAGACATTTTGGGATTTTTAATAATTTTTAATGATTTATTAGGGGCAAAACGGTAAATTCCACCTATGGTCAAATTAGGGGTCAACCTGAGGTCAAACTAGGGAGCCCTATTTATCTAAGGTCAATGATCAGATTCTGGTCAGTTTGAGGTATTATGGGTAATTTTCTGACCTAAAGTGTATTTATTGCATTTTTCGGAAGGTCTCAGGGCCTTATTTAACCAGTTAATTAGGGTTAGTTAATTAAGGGGTCTAAAGACTCCTAAAAATTCCTAGAAAATTCAGTGATGTTTTAGATGTCACTAAGTTTAAGTGTTTAATTTTTCATGTCGTTCTGGGATCTATTCTAGTCCCTAAAAAATTTCTAAGTTCGCTAGACGGGTCCTTAATTTTTGTCCTTAAGGTGTCACTACGTTATCTGAGTTTGAATAGAAGTTTAGCTAACCCTCAAGGTAATAAATGCATGGGAGTACAAAAATGAAATAAACACACCATGTCCTTAAGTCTAGGAGAGCCTAAACTAAGTGCTCGTGGTACAACATACACATGCAAACTACGAACAATAAGAAAGTAAATACACCTAATGAAGGGATTAGTGAATGATTGGGATCCAATCACCCACTAATCCACTCCCCCATGATTTGCTCTTCATACATAGGATCCATGTCTAAAATTTCATCGAATAGATTTTTCTAAAGTTAGGATTTAACTATAAGTAATTTAAAATACCTACTAATATAACTCTATATAGATTTCATAAAAATAATATATTTGAAAGATAGGTTGATTCATAATACATATAAGTATGGGAAAGATCCACTGGTCACTCAAGCGAAGCTTCGAAATGATTTGAAAATAGTTTGTATCTTGAAAATAATTATTATATTAATTAAATAATAATTTAATAATCAAATATTGCTCCAAGATAGAAATGAGAAAGATATATGTATAAGTTAGTCAAACAAAGAGATAAGAGTAGTAAGGATTTAGTTCAAGTGAAGTGTATTAAGGATGAAGATAAAAAAAATACTTTTCTTGAAAGATGATATTCAACAAAGGTGGATGAGATATTTTGCTTAACTTTTTAATGAAAATTATGAAAATAAGATTGACTATAGTGACCTTAACATCCTAAATGAAAATAAAGATTTCTGTTTTTATCGACGTATTAGTAAAACTGAAGTTAGAGAGGCTTTAAAGAAAATGAAGGGTGCGGAAAAGCTGTGGACCTGATAATATTCCAATAGAGGTGTGGAAATGCCTTAGGAGATGAAGGAATTTCTTGACTTACTAAACTTTTTAATACTATTTTGAAGACTAAAAAGATGTCAGATGAGTGGAGAATGAGTGTGTTAATTCCTATTTTTAAGAATAAAGGTGATGAACAAGATTGTGCAAATTATAGAGGAATTAAGTTAATGTGTCATATTTTAAAACTATGGGAGCGAGTTATGGAGATAGGTTTGCGCGTGATACTAATGTTTCTCAAAATCAATTTAGATTCCATGCCAGATGAG